GTTTTCCAGCCCAAACTCACCGATCCATTTGTCGTTGTTGTACCAGCTCAGGTTGTCCTTGGTGCTGTCGTAGTACCCGATCTTCTTGTAGACACCACCTTGGGGTGACAACATTGGGTGACATTGGGTGACAATTCCCAGGGGTGACAATGGGACGGGTGACAATGGGTGACAATGGGTGACAATGGGTGACAATTCCCAGGGGTAACACCGGGACAGGGTGACAACGGGATGGGTGACAATGGGTGACAACGGGTGACACCGGAGTGGGTGACACTGGGATGGGTGACACTGGGTGACACCGTGATAGGTGACAATGGGTGACATTGGGTGACACCGGGATGGGTGACATTGGGTGACAATGGGTGACAATGGGACGGGTGACAATGGGTGACAATGGGACAGGTGACAATGGGTGACACAGAGATGGGTGACAATAGGACAGGTGACAATGGGTGACATTGGGGTGACATGGGGTGACAATTCCCAGGGGTGACAATGGGTTGGGTGACAATGAGACAGGGTGACAATGGGTGACACCGGGATGGGTGACAATGGGTGACAATGGGTGACATTGGGTGACATTGGGTGACATTGGGTGACATTGGGGTGACATTGGGGTGACATTGGGGTGACAATGGGTGACAACGGGTGACAATGGGTGACAATGGAGTGGGTGACAATGGGTGACATTGGGGTGACATTGGGGTGACACCGGGACACGGTGACACAGGGATGGGTGACAATGGGTGACACAGGAGTGGGTGACATTGGGTGATATTGGGTGACATTGGGTGACAATGGGTGACAATGGGATGGGTGACAATGGGTGACATTGGGGTGACATTGGGTGACAATGGGTGACATTGGGGTGACATTGGGGTGACAATTCCCAGGGGTGACATTGGGTGACATTGGGGTGACATTGGGGTGACATTGGGTGACAATGGGTGACAATTCCCAGGGGTAACACCGGGACACGGTGACACACGGATGGGTGACAATGGGTGACAACGGGTGACACCGGAGTGGGTGACACTGGGATGGTAGACACTGGGTGACACCGTGATAGGTGACAATGGGTGACATTGGGGTGACATTGGGTGACAATTCCCAGGGGTGACACCAGGACAGGGTGACAATGGGATAGGGTGACACCGGGTGACAATGGGTGACATTGGGGTGACATTGGGTGACACTGGGTGACAATTCCCAGGGGTAACACCGGGACAGGGTGACAATGGGATGGGTGACATTGGGTGACAATGGGTGACATTGGGGTGACATTGGGGTGACATTGGG